AAGTCCTTAAATAATATATATTCTATCATTAAATTCGGAATAGGTAACAACTATGAGACAGAAAATTACAACTTCTTGGCCTCATAGTCGTTACCCTATCCTGATTCCATACGTAATTCTGGCTGAGCTAATTTTCTTTGCTTTATGTACGCGATTGCAGATGATCTCTGCTATTTTCTTTGCCATTATGTCTGCCGTCATAGCCAGACCTCCACTTGAGAACATGAATTACGACCACAATGTCTCATTAATCTATGATGGCGAGAAATTAATGAATTTGGATAGCATAAATTCAAGTAAGTCGAAAGTACAGCCACTCCTACCTAAAAGTAAAATATACGCTGTTATAGTGGATGGTGTTGACTCTAACATGGCGAATTCATTGAAGAAAGCTATCACTGACATGCTGCCATCGTACGTAGCCGGAATGCATCATCACGACCACATAGCCATGGATGAAAGCCATAGCGATGAGGTATTATTCAAAAGGAATGCGATGGAAGTGCGCTCTTTCTTGGAGTTTTGCCCCACTGGGCTATGGGAAGAAAGCTAAAAAATTTGATAAGGGAAAAATTTGCATTACTAAGTTGTTCCCTCTCACCTCTATACGATTGAAATCGTATCTGTGTTCTAAGAAAGTTGCAGAAAGTTGAAAGTTTAAGCATCACGTATTTAAGAAAAAAGATATTTGATTGATTACTCAGTTCAATTAAGCCATGCAAGGTCATGCCGCATCTGGCATTAATTTGGTTTCTGACCAGAAGTACCTTCACCCTAGCACTTAGTTTGAGCATCACCACCAAATCAGACCCTCAGCGCCCTCATATTGCGATCAGATTATTCTAGAAGGTAAGATTGCTATTTTCAGGGTAGTGGAGAGGCACCTTCAGACTCTCATTCTTCAAATGGTAAGTTTATCTTCGAATTTTGCTTTTTTTAAACGAATGTCAGGAATAACAAATCTCTTCAGAAAGTGGTCATTCAGCTGCAACGAGTCATGCGGATGATGAGTTCTGGAACAGAAACGGTAAAGTTTGGAAAACACTTTTCTAATAGCTTTGTAAATGGAGTTTTTTTGGAAAATAACATTACTTGAATAGTGTATTGTGTTATTTTCCAAAAAATTGTATTATTCTGGAAAGAATAAAGAAACTTAAAGTTATTTGTTTGTCTGTTCAGATCTCGTGAACTTCTTCGTCAAAAT